ATGGGCGCTTTTTATTTCACTTCTTTTGGACTGATGCACTGCAACACCCGCTGAGTGGCATTAAACAGCTTGAAAGACAAATTTTAATATAACTCCGACTGGATTCGTCTGAAAGAAGAAAGTCATATACACCTAGGATGACTTGAGGGTGAGTAATTTATGGACTAATTTTCCTTTTTGGGTGAACTAACCCTTTAAGTATATATTTTTTTTATCAGACAACTTATCCAACCAATTCTTGTTAAAATCACAAAGTATTTTTTTTTTCATTTTTACCAAAAAATTGAATTAATGGTGGATGAAGATGGTAGTCTATATAGCTTCCAACAGTTATACATTTATATGAATGAAGAATTATCTTAACAAAAATACATTCACAATATAAAGTGTCAACTGTCTGAAGGTATAATCAACTCAAATATAAGACCAATATAAACATAGCCACACCTCCAACCCTGGAGCACCTATCATACCTATAAAGACATAATTGGTTAGGTTTATCACACTGTCCAAAACACGGCTATTAAGCCATTTTTCAAAGAGTGTGACAATATCAGGTTTGTTTAAATCAACCCACACACGAAGTAAATCAATTTTGCCCACAAGGCTTCTAATATTTGTTATTCTAATATTTCAAATGAATGATTTTTAACCCCTTTATCTCATCCAACCTGAAAAAATATAACATAATAATAATGTCACTCTTCAGACATGAAATCAAAAATAACTGAATACAAAAAAATATTACAAGGGTGCAGAAATGGCAAGATAAATTAATCTCAACAAAACAAACAACATAATAAATGTATGTGAAAGTGTGATGGGGGTTTTTTGTGAACATGTAATAATAGGATATATTGTTCATTAGTGGATTTTATCAAGGGGTTGAAGAAGCATCTCATGTTTAAATGAAAATGAAGCTGTGCACTTGTGGACAGGAGCAGTGCTGTAGTCTCTGCACTTTCCTCCATGTTCCTCTGCAGCGAGGGCTTCCCACCGCCTGCCAGTGTAGAAGCTCATCCCTGCCAAGACAAGAAGAGTGTACCATCAGATGGCAGGTCCAAAAACCTTATTTTACGCTATGAGTGATTCTTCAGCTGTGTGGTTTACAGTTCATTTGCATTGTGTTCCATGATAGAAATGATATTTAAACATTTCTGACATAAAATGCTTGACTCTTGTCTTGCTATGACTTATTTTATAGTTTATACCATTCAAAAGTTTGGGGTCTGTAAGAATTTTTTAATGTTTTAGAAAGAAGTCTCTTACACTCACCAAGGCTGCATTTATTTGATCAGAAACATATATAAAAAAAAAACGTAATATTGTGAAATGTATAATAACTTTAAAAAATTTAATTAACAGTGTTGGGGAAAGTTACTTTTAAAAGTAATGCATTACAATATTGCGTTACTCCATAAAAAAGTAACTAATTACATTACTTAGTTACTTTTTATAGAAAGTAATGTGTTACGTTACTTTTGCGTTACTTTTTAAATCTGGACAGGGCTTGCTTGTTTGTTTTTAAAATAAAAAAAGTTCTATTTTTGGCAAATATTAAAGCCTTTTCACACTAAAAGTGAAATGAATAAGCCTCAGGCTGAAGGGAAAGTGAATTTACGTCTGTACAGTAGAATGCAGAAGAAGAAATGTCAACACACTTCAGCAATAAAAAAAAGACACA